ATACCTTGAGACTTCTTGTGAGTCGTTGTTGTTCTTTGTAGTCTTGGGATGTGTTCCCGTGTTCTTGTTGAGAGTGTTAAGTCTTGTGTTGACTATTACTCTTGGTTTTTGACTTATATATATGTATTCCGTTTCGAAAATGGCTTTACAAACTTATATCTATTCTATGTATGATATTTCACATGTATTGGTGGGTTACCAGCATTATTCGCTGACCGAGCGTCGTCCCATGTTTTATATGCTTCTTTCAGGTAATGCTTAGACGAGTGCGCGGTCTAGTGCCTGCTAGTATAGCTCCCCTTTTATGTTTTGTGGCTTGTGAGCCAAACTAGACTTAGTACTTGGTTTTGTTGGTTGTAGACTTTAAACAATGCAGATTTAGCCTGTGCGTTCACCCTTGGGTGAGCGTGGCATAGCACCCCGTTTCCTTTGTTTTATATATTTCCTCTTTCAGTCTTCCGCTGTGTTTAATGTTTGGTTTAGATATCTGCATGTTTTAAGACTTTAAATAGCATGGTTTTAGGGGGTGTTACAGTCATGGCCCACTTTGGCATCCCTAAAGCCCTATGTCTCCTTTGATATTTGTTTTCTTCATTGTGATTGTAATAAATTCATGTTTTATTGGGAAAAAAAATCATAAGTTATTCAAACAATACAGAATTTATGTCAACATATGAATTTGAATCTCCATTATTGGAAATTTCAAATTTAAATTAATCAAATTTCATTTCCCAAAAACATAAGGTATGAACATAGTTATTTTTCAGTTGATTTTGATTTGTTTGATAATTATTACCTGTTTGACTTGGTTAAACAATCAATATGTGTGTTTGGTTAATTATCTTTTTGTAACAACATATTGTTTCAAAATGCTAAAATTCAAAAAATTGCTCAAAACAATTTTTTGAGAAAATTAATTATACCCTTAAACTAATAGCTAATTTACCAAACATCTTTATACAACCTGCTAATGCTATCAGCTAGTCAAACCCACTAACTCAATTAGCTAACAACTATTTGCCAAACAACCCAAAAACTTTTTAACTTTTTTTTTTTAAACTTGAGTCCAAATTTTAGAATACCAAAACTATCTTGATTATCCAAAATAAAGAAATTAAGATTGGACACTAGTTAGCAAAAACAAAAGAGGAAATTACATTTTTTGTCCTATGACTATTAGGGTCTTGCTAATTTCAATTCACGACTTTAAAAACTAACAATTTAGTACCCTAATTATGCAATTTTTAACATATTTGGTCCATCCGGTCAAATTGCCAGCCAATTGTTGCCGGAATCTTTTAAGCTATTTTAATTTGTTAATTCGAGGGGCAAATCGGTCATTCTAGGTTCTTCCTTCTTTGGAATTGTTATGGGAACAACATCATCGGCGCCGACGCGGCGTTATGACCTTCTCCTTCTCTATCGCTATTGTCGTCGTCGTAAATCTCAGGCTGAGAAACCACCTCGTCGTCTAATTCTTCCTCGGTTTCAAGAACCCCATTCTCTATTTTTCTTAATGAAAGCCTGAGGCGGCCGTCGGATCTTTCGGCCTAGAAGAAAGATCTGTACAGGGTAACGGCGACGATGGTAATGACTAACCGGCCGCCTTCACGGCGGGGCCTGACCTAGACCCCGTCGTCGCCGCTGATTGACGTCAGGGGCAGTGGGAACACACTAGTCTGATTAGATTTTTTAGAAGAACAAAACACCTCTCGATACTTGTAGCACTTCTCGCTTTCCGCAGCCACCGTCAGGGAATTCTCTTTCTTCGGTAACCGATTTGCAATTCCAGAGAAGGAAGAACATGAAATGACCGATTTGCCCCTGAATTTGGCCGGATGGACCAAATCTGTTAAAAATTGAATAGTTGGGGTACTAAATTATTAGATTTTAATGTCGTAGATTGAAATTAACGAGACCCTAATAGTCATATGACCAAAAGTGTAATTTTTTCAAAAAGAAAATTATACATATCCACACATATGTAATCACTATGAAATAGGAAAAAAAACAATAAAATACCACTCTTCTCTGTTGTAGAATTTCTTTAAAATAGATCAGATTTTGGGAATGCCCATTAATCCATTATATTTTACAAAATTTGGTACATGTGACTTTAAAAAGGAAACATTAAAAACAAGGCAGAAGTGTCAAATAGGTCAATCTACTATCTCGAAGTGTTCAATTCACCCCACCATCTAAAGCATATGCTAATTGGACACACTTACAACCTAAAATTTTAGCTTTTTTCGTAGGTTACCTAAAAAGGACACACTTGACACTTTGGAAGAGTTATTGGAAAAAAGGCAGGGTAGCCTCCACCCCAAGGCAATGGCAGTAACTGAGGAAGGCCGTCAGCAGGCAGTCAGAATTGGGCGTCAGCTGACCTGGCACTATCCCGTAGTATTGGAGAAGGAGGACAAGAAAAGGCGAGAGGGGTACACGGAAGCCGGACCGAACGGACTGATAGTGGATACTCACATACCCGCCGCAGGGGGGGATCCGTTATTAACTGATCACCCGGGCGACGAGTCACCGCCGCCGTGCCCAACAACCGACGTGCGTGCAAAAAATCCACTTCCCGAAGAGAGGACCGCCGGCCAGCCGGCCAACCCAAGTCCTCGAATATTCCTGGCTCCTGGCCGATGGGACCGTCCCCCGGCTCCCCCCGAAGCGGAAGTAGTAGCCGAAGGGTTGGCTGTCTTGCCCTGACGAGCGTCTTCGTCGGGGGAGGACAAGAAGAAGAAGAGGAGGACGACATGGTAAAAATGCGGAAAGAAGTATTGGAGGAGTAGGAAATAGAAGGCTCACCTGAAAGAAGACGACGGCCGGAGAACAGAAGGGCGAGGATGAAGAATGCCGGTCGCCGAGGGTTGAGCTTGGGAAGAGAAGTCTAGGGAGCGTGAAGGGAAAAAGGTAAGGAGGAAGGAGAGTATATATAAGGTTGGACGGGCGATGAGATCGTGACGCGTGTCTCAGATCGGACGGACGGGAGTTAGCTGACGTTACATTTGAGATGACAGTTACAAAGAGACACGCTTTGAAAAACGTAACCGGCTGAATTAGCGCGAAGAGTCATGATTAGGTCTATCGCAACTGTACCACTCCATAGAACCAGTCGGGAACAACGGAATCAGCCGGGAACCCGCTTCGGTTGCTGACGGATCAGGGCAAACCAAGAAGCCAAACAGCCAGGGTGCTTGGGGAACTTGTGTTCTTTTCTCTTTCTTTACTTTTTCAGGTTAACGTCCAGCTAAAACCTAAAAAAGTGAGGGATTGGTGATAGATACCCCAAATCAGCCGCCTGGACGGGAAGCTAGACTAGGCAGCCGGATTTACAGGCAACGCATTACTTGGTAGGAGGAAGATCCATGGAGACCTCTCGGACACGGCACAGTACGCCCCATAAGTGACAGCGACTCACTTTCTAGCAGCCAGCCCACCAGCCGGCGCGTCCCTAGGCGGACTCTCAGAAGTGACGCGATCAGGCGACCATCTACGGTGGTCGGCTTGTCCCGGGCCGAATACAGGGTTCGATAGGGCGACCAAGCCACACGGGCAGTGCGTCCCCGATCGCGTGCCTTTCCGAGATCCGGCCGGGCGACTAGGCTTTGCGAAAAGGGTGCCGCTAACTAGGGCCGAGCGCCCAGGAAGGCGCCCGCGCGCAATCGGGACCATTCACGTCCGGGTGCACACCCAGAGACGCGTATCAGCGGATCCTGCGGAAGCAATCTTTGCTCGTTAGGCAGTTTCCTTAGTTAATTCAGACGGTAAAGGTAGTTAGTTAGCGGTTGCCTCAGCCTTTACGTCAGCCCTACCTCTTTGACTCGGTTGAAACGCCAGCCCTACTTACCATGTATAAACCCCACATCTATGTATAAATATCCCCCTGGATCATCATGTATCGAATTGACATTTTTTAGGGCAAAACCCTAGAGAAATAATATCACATTATTCTCTCTTTATTACATTATCTTTATTTTCACTATCTCGCAAATAAAAGAGCTTTATTCCCTTTCCGGTAGTGTTGGCCTGCCGGGCAGCCATGAGGCTGTGAAAACCAACAATATACAATAATAAAAAAAAAAAAGAAGGAAAATTTGCACTTTTCATCCCTAAGTTATAGGGTTATTGTAGAATTCATCTCTAATTAATAGTCGTACTAATTTTGTGTCCCTAAAATATACTCCGTAATTGATGTTGCAAATTTCGTCCCTTTACTAACAAAACATTAGGAACGAAATTTGCAACGTTAGTATAGCTTAGAGACGAAGAGTGACCACAACCTGTTATTAAAAGGATGAAATTTGTGACGTCAATTATAGTTTAGGGCCGAAAAGTAAGCACAACCAACAATTAGGGACGAATTCTGCAATTACCCAATAACTTAGGGACGAAAATTGTAACTTTCGAGTTCATTTAATATATACATAATAGATTTTTTATTTTTTATTTTTAAAAAAGGAGGGGGCCAAAAGTGTAATTTATCCATATTATAATATATATATATATATATATATATATATATATATATATATATATATATATATATATATATATATATATATATATATACTAAAATGGGGCCCCAAGGGGTAGCTCCGCCCCGGATAGCACGGATTGTTAGGTAGAATGACAGTTATGCCATGGACCTGGGTCCACCTTGCAAGGTGGACCTGAGTCAAAATACACAATGCATATACCGAATTGTTCACAATGCTTAGGGTTTATGTTGCAAAAAATATGCTTAGGATATTTTCTAGTGATGCTTCCCTCTAAAATTGCTATTGCACTCGTTACTCCAACATTTCTACCATAGGTCATAATTATGTATTTTTGAAATATTTACTTTTATGAAAATTTGATAATCTTACATTGATATACGCCAGAATACCGAATTATACTTTGATATAAATTCTGAAGCACTAATTTTAAAATACACCTTGGGAAACAATGCGCACAATACTTGTGTGGTAACTAGTCACTATATAAATAGGAACAAACAATAAAATACCACTCTTCCTTGTTGTAGAATTTCTTTAAAATAGATCAGATTTTGGGAATGAACATTATATTACAGTATATTTGTAAAATTTGGTACATGTGACTTTAAATGGAAACATTAAAATAATAGATCCATTCTTAGATCAGAGATCTGATATCTTTACTGTACACTTACTTGTGGCCTCCAAATCATCAAGATATTGTTGATAAATATAAGAAGCAAATCCCCAGACAGACAGCAGCAAGGACATCACCTTCAACCCACTCATCTCTTCATTCAAGAACAACATGGACAGCAATGGAGTCAGAGGAGTGGCCAACCTTATAACCACGTTGGAAAACAAGGACGAAACCTTAAAAGTCAAGGTATAAGAGCTAACAATGTAAACCTGGTTGGCAACAGCAGTAAAAAACAAGTCCAGATTGTAGGCTAAAACCCCTTGCTTGTAATCCTCCATTTCTCTTCTCAGCCCCTTCCACTCCCCACTGGCAAACAGCCCCACCAGGGTCACAACCGTGGCCACAAAACACTGTAAAACAGTGAGAATCATCGTGTCTTTTATGGTTTCCCTTTTGATGATCTTCTCGAATACAAGTTGGGATAGGGAGAAGATGAGTGCAGGGCAAGCAGACGCGGCGATTGTGAACAGAACCCCCAACATGTACTCATCCTTATTAGAGGCTACCTCGGACGATGATGTGGTGTCTGGGCTGAAGATGAGGAGCATAGGGGAGAAGGTGAGGATTATGACGGAGTTGATTATGTAAGGGGTGAAGCTTTGGGCATTAAGGAGAAAAGAGAAAAGGGCAGTGAAGGCTAACTGGGATGAGTTAAGAAGGGAATAAGTAGAGGCAGGGAGGTATTCTAAGGCAAGTGAATAGAAAACATCAGTTGCTGCTATGAGCAAACCAAGAACAGTGGAAACTAAAGCCAGAAGCAGAAAAGAATAAGGTGGTGGGTCTGAAAAAGAAGAAGAATTAGGATGAGTTTTGGAGAAGAAGAGAAAGGGGATGAGAAAGGGGAAGCCTGCAGTTTGGATTGAAGCCATGAGCCATTTGCTGTTACCTCCTTGGTCATAGTAAATTCTTGACAAGAGAATAGCAGCTTCTAAGCCTGATAAGGTCAGAACTGTATGGAAAGCTATCTCAAACCACCATTTCCAGTTGACATTAATCGATGTTGAATCAATTCCCTTATCAGTAGAAACTTTGATTTCACCCCCAAATTCCACAGCTTCATAACCTGCTCAAACATACATACAAATATGCCCCTTTTACTAGATTTATAAAAGAAACAAAAGGTAAGATGTAGTTGAGGAACCTACTTGTGTTATCCAGCAATCTCTCGTGTTCTTCACCCATGTGGAACTGTACTCTCAGAAAGCTCTGGCAAGATATTTGTTTGAGTTATCTTCTAATGCCCTTAGCTTTTTTTTTTTTTTTTTCTTTCTTTCTTTAAAGTGTCTCCACCAATAATGGAAGGGTAACGAGAGGACAATGATTTTGGGTGACTAGCTTCCACCTTAATATATATATATATATATATATATATATATATATATATATATAGGGTTGCATTCACATGAAAACACCCTTAAAATACAAACATGTGGACATATACCGTGCACACACCTAAATGCAGGTATGCACACATCCGTGGACGACAGGCACACATCCAATGTAGTATGAATGTGTGAATTCAGAGTATTTAGGTCGACGTGCACACGTCCATGAATAACAGTGCACACAGGCGGGCAGCACACAAAATCATAAAAACTAATCACAACCTTAGATACCCAAAATCTAACGATTCAGAAATGTCCACACGTTTGTATTTTAAGTCCTATTTTTAGATGAATGTAATTCTATATATATATATATATATATATATATATATATATATATATATATATATATATATATATATATATACACACACAATGATTTAGGGTGACTAGCTTCCTCCTTAGAATATATATATATATTGTTAGATATACAATAATTAAAAGGAAACCAAACAAGCTGCTTTAGTTGGTCATAATACTTAAAATTGACTTAAAGATTCAAAATTGAATAATATTTTAATAATGAATTTACCAAAATTGAATGATATTTTAATAATGAATTTATGAGTTAATAATATGCTAAATCCAACCTTAATGCATGCTATTATGAATATATAATTATAACAATAATTTATAAATATACGTAGCATGCTTGGATATGCAAATTAATACATTATTAACCCATATATACTAAATAAATTACAATACTTAAAGCAATTTAACATAAGCCTCAACATTAAATTAAAATTCAAACAACAAATTCAAAACTTAATATTTGCCCAAAATTGAATAATAACTGAAAGAGGAATTAATTTGACCAATTGACTAAAAGAAGTCCAAATATGATGATGAAAACTGAAGCAAGCCCAAAAATTAAAGTAGGCTAAATTTTTTTTTTTTTTTATATATAATAATGGACTAGGTCTGGCCAAATGGGCCAGACCCGGCCCAAATTAATATCCACCATCATCTTCTTCTTCATGTTAATTAGCCAGAAGCACTAGCAGCGGCAAGGAACAGAGAGTCGCCCGAAGGAGAAGGAAGAAGACGGACGCGCCGGAATCCAGCCCGCCTCCGCTATCTCTTCTCGCCGCGACACGCCGCCGTTCGACTCTGTTCGCGACGCCTCCGCCGACCGATGATCACAATGCAGCAGCACGGAGATGGAGAGCGGCAGCCCGCCGCCGGCCTGAAGGAGAAGAACAAGCAGCGACGCCGCCGGGAAAACCCAACCACGCCTTCGCCGCGTCTCCTCACTGCGCAATGCCAACAACCGCCGCCTGCAATTCTAAGTCGCACCGCCGTCGTGTCGTCCTATTGCTTTAGCCAGAAAACTGAATGGCGGTTGCCTGAAAAACGAAGCACCGGAGACTTTTGAAACCAGTTCCAAGGTTGCCGGCGAGTCGCATTCGAAACCAGTGCATATGCCTCATTTTTTTCCGGCCAAAACAAATCGGCGGTAGTGTTCCAAAAGAATCACGATATATATATATATATATATATATATATATATATATATATATATATATATATATATATATATATATATATATATATATTTATTTATTTATTTATTTATTTTCAAAATAAAAGAAATTGAAATAATCGTGCTTAATGGCTGGCGTCCTTATTTGCTTAATGTTTGTTGAACTTCAGCACAATTAATTCTCGTATATGAAGAATCAATTACAAATAATTCCAAACTATGCATAACATTTTGCTTAATTATAAAAACCAAATTGACATATTATGTATGCATATTTTGAAGAATTAAGATAAATGTAATTGTAAACCGAAGCATATACAAAAAATTTGATGTATATGAAATTAATGTTGATTTTTTTTTTAGGCAATAACAATCAACTAGACAGAGATTATAAGGGCTTGATACCAAATGTTAGATATACAAGGGCTTGATACCAAATGTTAGATATACAATAATCTAACTATATTGAATATTAGTATACGAGAGATCTGACCTCTTATAAGAGCGGAAGCGTAGCCATGTAGATCTCCAACCATAGTTGATGTTCCTATTGTGTTGCATCTTTAACGGTAGACCGTTAGCCATATTTTGCCTCATACCTGACTCAGAACCCTAGATGGTGTATTGGTGTCTACGCAGTCTGAGTACCGTAACTGAATGTGCTATCATCCAACATCCTGTATCCCATCAATCCAGAATTATATTAGGCACAGAGTTTGGTTGACTAACTAGTTATTAAGTTCAACCAGACCACTTAATAAGCCTAGTCAACTTGCACCACTTAATTAAGGCCCTAATATATAATATATAATATATATTATTAGGGAAAATCTTACACACACACACACACACACACACACATATATATATATATATATATATATATATATATATATATATATATATATATATATATATATATATATATATATATGTATATAATCGGAACAACTCAACTAAATTGTTAAGATCGTTGGCAAATTAGCTTTCAAATTTGACTCATAGTAGGATCAATTTATTGACTTTCTTAGTTCGAAATAATTAGCTATGAACAACTTAGGTTGATTTACTTTCCGGTGACGTTTTATCATCTAGGATCACAAAGTGAGTTTACCGCATACCCTCAGTTAGTACATAATTGAAAATATTTTATTTCTTTACTAAAAAAAAAAAGGGAATATGAAGTCTTTTTTATTATTATTATTTTTTTTTTGGTACAATATCATATCATACTATATCCACACTCAAACTCTTTATGCAGCTTTTAAAAAAAAAAATATTAACAACTCTTTATGCAGCATTTAATCAACTTAAGAAAGTGACATACTTTTCCACAAAAATATCAATACTTCATACATCCAATTACTAAATTACCCTTTTCATACTTAATTAAATGATATAAAATGCTTAAATATTTGCGAAAACCTATTGTGCAAGACTGCAAGTATCAAGTTTTCTGATCTGATACTCATATTTAATTTGTATATTTCACTATTTAATATTATTCAACATATGTACTCATATTTAATTCTACTAAAAGATACATGATAATAATCAATTTCTCATACACCTATTATTTCTTTTGAACATATAATACATCAAATTCACTCACCCAACTAAACGAATCAGAATCATATCCACTTTAACCTAACTCAAACCGAAAGTGAACTCCGCTCAAATTAATATGAATTCTACTACGTGCACTCCCAAATCCTACTCCCTCAAATTTACTCTCTGATATAGCGAACACCGATAGATTATTTTTTCTTCATGTGAATCTCTGTAAAAGTGTCTACATCAAAATTTTATGTGTAAAGTAAAAATTAAAAGTAAAGAGTGAGAGTACATATAATATTTTCTAATAAAATGACTACTTAAAATATCAATTTTTATTATTTTTTCCAACACTAAGCGGCATCTCCTAGGTACGTGACTGGTGCCAAATTGTCACTGTGTCGCACTGAAATAAATAATACTATACCGGTCAAAATCAATGTCCTTTCCACAATATTGGGTGGAAATTCATACCAGCCTAGAAGCCAAAACAATTTTTAAAATATGAAATATATATGTAAAAGTTTAATGACAATCAGAGCATTGACAAAGACATCATATATTTGCAGTTGTTGATGAACAAGTCTTTTTTTTTTTTTTTTTTTTTTTAAACAAACAGGAAATTCATTCATTGAGATCATACCAAAGAGCATTACAAATGAAGGGGTTCATGGAACCATTCCTTACGATCTGCATTAGAGATGTAGTACCTAGTGTTGGAAAATTCTGAGCCATGTGTCCTTTCTGTTCGTTATAAAATATGTGGCTCATGATCTCCTTTGATATTTCTTGTAGCCACTGTTAATTAAATACATGTGGAGTAGAGTGATTAGTGGCTAAAGGAGTAGGCTATGTAATTATAAATAGCCTAATTAGCTTTGTTAGCAGAATACACAAAACATAAACTTTCTTCCTCCCTAAGTCTGAGCATTAGTCAGGTTCGTCCACGTTTAAGCTGGTGCAAGCTCAGCGTGGTTATTCTGTGTTGCATGTCGAAAGCGTACCGAAAATCTTGACTGCACGATCACTGGACAAATAACGCTTTTAAGGTAGTGTTATATAACACGGCACAGACTCCCTTACTGTCATACACTCGAATTTGTCCTTGTTTCCTAAAAGGTTGTCAGCCCTCGCGTTGACGTTGCTTATATTTTCCAACAGTTAAAAGCGTTATTATACAACGACAGTCAACTTTTCAGCTTTATGGCTTCTTTTGTTACAAATGAATGACAAATTGTTTGACATCTATGTCAAACAAGACTCGGCAAAAGTTATTTGGGAAACACTATTAGAAAAATACAGTGGCAATGATGCTGAAAATCAGTGTTAGAAATGACAATAACAAAAGGAGTGGAATAGTTAAGAAACTCAAAGGAGACTGTTTCGTGTGCGGTAAGCAAGGACACCGAGCATACCAGTGCTATCATCGCAATGGCAAAACTAGTAGAAGTCAATCTGACAGAGCAAGATGAGTATTGCATTTCTTTAAATAAGTAGTTATTTTGAGTAACTCTTATTTGCTCTAGTTTCTAAATACTAGTTGAATTGTCTAAATTTTGAATGTCTATTAGTTCTTGTTATTTTAGTGTGTTGAATGCTAATGACATTGATGCATATTATAGGCAAAATTAATAGTGGTGTACACAAAGATAAGTGAATTGTTATTGTACACATGTATGAGCTTTATGATTTTGTTGTGATAGAAATGTTGATTTAATACTACTGCTAATTGATTAAATCATCAATCTGATTTGAAGCTCATAAATTGTGTACTTATGCACATGTCGAATTTATAATATTAATGTGTTATTTTTGTTGATACATTTCAAACATTGCACTATTTAATGAGATACATATATATTTTAC